GTCAGCACGGGGCCCTACGACACCACTCTAGCTATCATCACCTTCGCCATCACCACTGTTATGTTCAATCGCCGTCACCATCTCAGACATGCCATAGGCGTGGGCGGCGGGACTCCGCCACCACACTGCAGCGGGGAGTCCCCGGTGCACGCTGCATGCCATGAACCCTGTGCCCCCGATAATAGATCCCCGGGGGATAATACAATTCGGGGTCTGGCGGAGATCATCAACGACATTGCCGGCGGAGGAAGATGATGATGATGACGATGATGATGATGAGGATGATGATGATAAAGATGATGATGATGATGATGATGATGATGATGATGATGATGATGATGATGATGATGATGATGATGATCCTGGGCGGTCAGCTGAGAAACCGAAAATCCCAGGGCCCTGCCGCACGTTCGTGACTCAGGAAAACTGAAGTGATGATAATCCCATAGCCCTGCCACACACTCGTGATTGCGAAAGCTGAAATGGTGAGACCACCATTGCCATGTTCAGCGTTTTTGATGATGTTGCCAGTCAACACAAGATGATAGCATCTTCGATTCGCAACTTCCCACGGGGATCATCAAGTTCGGCCTCGCCGCCCCTCTCCACAATCAAATCCTAGTGACACAGGGATGATAATCGGCGGTGGACAAACCTCCCTTTAGTAGACCTCCCCTTAGTGAAAACGGCCTGGGACCGAAACCGACGGACCTGGACCCGCAAAAATGACGGCCGCGACGCCCTCTCGCGAACCGAAAACGGCCAATTCCTTAATCGACGTGTCAGGGTAGGAGGTCTGTCCATCCCCGAAATAAATACTCAGGGGTTGAGGGGGGGGTACTTTTCAATCTGGGGCAGGAGGTCACACGCTGATGCCTCCGAGGCCCGAGAGCCAACCCACAGAGGCCCGAATCGTGAGAAGGCCCGGATCGTGCTTTTATCGAGGAGACGTACGACGCAGGTTCGGGGGACCCGTGTTGGTCAGACGGGGCCATCATGACAGTGACGAGACCCAGTCTGAAATTTGACGCGAGCTCGCGCCAAAACATCCGACGAAAAATGGACCGTCAAATTCAAATTCCACGGCGCGCTCGCCAAAAAGCGTCGGCAAACCCGAGTTCTGGCGTATTCCAGTCTTACGTGTCCCCGACGCCTGAAGTCAGGGTTTCCCGCGCCCCCCCGCCGCCGCTGCAATCGCCGCGGCCGCCGCGGCCTCCAGTGGCAGCCGCCATCGCAGCGGCGCAGCGGCCGCCACCGCTGCCGCGGCTGCCGCCGCCGTCGCGGCCGCCGCCGCCGCCACCGCCGTCGCCGCCGCCGCCGCCGCCGTCGCGGCCGCCGCCGGCACCGCCATCCTCGCTACGGCCACCGCCAACGCCGCCACCGCAGCTCGCCGCCGCGGCCGCCGCCGCGGCCGCCGCCCCGGAAGCCGCCGCCAGCGCCGTCGCCAGCGCCGTCGCAGCGGCAGCCGCCGCCGCCGCCGAAGCCGCCGCCGCCGCGGCTGGGCGCCTTCCGCCTCCTCGGCAGCCCCTGGGGCGGCTGCCCCGGCGGCCTGGCCAGGGTCGGGCACCGCGGGGGCGCGCGCGACCCCCTTCTTCCTCCTCCTCCTCCTCCTCCTCCACTCGGGCAGGGGTAAACCTCCTCCTCCTCCTCCTCCTTCTCCTCCTCCGCCTCCTCCTCCGCCTCCGCCTCCTCCTCCTCCTCCTCCTCCTCCTCCTCGACGCCTTTGCTTGTGCTCGCGACGCTGCACGCGAAGACTCGCTCGAATCTTTGTCAGTGGATGAGATCCGTAATGCAGCGCACGCGATGCGCCCAAAGACAGGCATGGGTGTCGATGTGCTCTCGCCCACTGACATTGAGCGACAGCCTGCTGTAGCGTTAGCCGAGTTGTCTCGCCTTTACAGCGTCATCGAGAAGACGCTCGTGAGGCCCTCACGATAGGACGGTTGCTGCCCAAGAAATCTTCAGGAGACCGCGTCTTTGGTTTGCTCTCGATGGTAGCCACAGTATGGAGTCTCGACAGGGAACCACTTGTTAAGACTTAGGCAGCAGAGTCCGAGCCCGAGTGGGACGCGGCTGCCTCTGGAAATGCTGCTCTACGGGAGGCTTTCTTGAGGGTAGTCGAGGAGCAAGTTTGAGGAGTTTTAAACATGCCATCGGGACACGGACTTCTGGATATCCGGGGGTATTCCGATTCCATGGAATGGTTGTTGTTGATTCCAGCAGCGTTGCGATTGGGATAGCCCCCGACATACTATACTTGGAGTTGCTGCAGTGTCTCATGCCACGGGCTTTGGGACAAGGCCCCGCCTTTGCCGAACCCATTCAGCCGACTCGAAGCATTGTTCAAGGACGCCGAGGGGGCACCCGATTTGCACGTTGCCTCACATAGATTATCTTGTCTCGCAGTACCACCGCACATCCAGGCATGGGTTCGCGCATCTGGATAGATGATCTGTCTCAGCGTGTGCACGCCTCGAGGTCGACCTTGAGACGGAACCTTGTAGCAGGACTGTTGGATACATGCGAGGCCTTGCAGGAGCAACAACTCACTGTGTGTCCCAGCAGTATCATATGATGTACACACATGGACGCTCGTAGTCTGCAACTTCGGGGATTTGAGGTTCAAACCAACACGCAAGCCGGGTACCTTGGGGCCGATTTGGGAGGTGGACGCCGTCATGCCCGCCAGGTTCGCAGGACACGAGTTCTGAAAGCGCAGCCGAAGCATCGTAAAGTGGTAGGCTTTGCCAGAGCAGCGAAACGCTATCATGTAACCAGCAAGCTGACTAGGGCTGGCACGCTGGCCGCTCAGTTATATGCTCATCAACTTCACGGCGTCTTTGGCAGTGCCATGGTGAGGTGTAGGAGGCAGATGGGAGCAGTGTGCGGGACGGAAGCGACGGGAAGATGCTTAACCACACTTCTGGATTTGCGTTAACATGTAGGGGACCCGATCTATGCGCTGCCACGCGCCTGTCTTCAATTATGGTTACACCAGTGGCTGACGATCCCAAGCCTGAGGCCCGAAGTATCCCACGCGTGGCCCAAATTGTTGGCCAGGTGTCGTGGGACATCTCCTGGACAGCGGTCCCGTCTGGTCCGAGGGCCCACGGGGTCCGTTATCATATATCTTTTAGAAGCGGGATGGGATTCAGTGGAACCTTCTCGATGGGTGGCTCCTGATAACGACGTGTGCGGGGACTTGGCTGAGTGGAAATTCCCGTCCGCTGAACTGAAGGGCAATCTAATCGAAGACGACCCCACCCCATTGCTTGATGATTTTGAAGCGACTGTACGTGCGCTGCAGTGGGGCCGAGCGTCGGCTCATTTCTGTGGAGGTGGCATGGAGAGAGGAGTGGACAACTTCTCTCTTCGTCGTTTGTTGCGTCGCATTCAGCAGGTCGACAACGGACATCGTCTCTCCGAGGTTATTGTTTCCATTGCTTGTGGAGGCTCGTGGACGCGAGCTCGAAGGCAGGAGGAGATCAAGGGAGGAGTGGCGGATGTCTTGCGCCCACGATGTCGCAAATGCCCAGGGACAATGTTTCATCGTGGCGAAGGCCGACCAGGACAGCGATTGCTTGGTCACTGCAGCCTTTGCACAATCAGATGCGGAACCGTGCGTGTGGTTGAGAAGTCTCCTTCCATCGAGCTACACTCAAACCCCTCCGCTCCCGTCTCAGGAGTCTTGGACCATCACTGGGACAAATCCGGAGGATCTGGAGGCTTGTCTGGCATACGGCCATCTTGGGGATCCCCTCATCATTTTCGGAGACGCCTTGCGGGGGAAAAATGACACCGGGCCCTCGCTTCACAGGAGTGGAGATGCGATAGTGGCGCTGCAGTCGTACGAGCCATGCCGTGTGCGAGCCTCTCAACGTCGGTGCGCCGCGACGGAGGTTGCAGCGCCTTCGGCGCGCAGTGGTCTTCAACGACGCGGGGTCGATTTGGGGCCATCGGCGAAGTGGCGCCTCCCTGGTGCGCACCAAGAATCGAGAACACGCATACGGTGGTTTAATGCGGCGTTGGCGCGCCGGCGACGCTGGCCAAGGCGTTCGAGGTTGAAGTCCGTCACGTGGAAGCACCGAGGGACACGGTAACGATCACCGGTCCGTTGGCTGGAAGCTGACGGACTGTGCCGCGCGGCGAGCTGCGTGGGCCGCAGCTCGCACAATCGCGGCCACCGCTGGAGCCGTCTGCTACGCCACCGACTGCGGCACTGCTGCTACAAGGTTTTACGATCGCCTGTGCGACAGGCCGTCAGGGCCGAACGCTGACTTGTGGCTCGCGCTTGCAAAATTGTTGGCAAGCAGACGGGGCCTCGTTTCAGTTCTGTCCGTCAACTCTCGTTTGGCCCCTGAGCAGATTTTGGCATTGCGAGTGCCAATGTGGCTAGCTGTTGAAACCACTGTCGTCGATGATCTCGCCGCCGAGGCGGCGGAGCACGCCCGAGTGCCCGCCCAGGCAGTGCAGCGCGCGGTTCAGGCAGAGAGGCGCATCTACCTGGTGCGGATGCGGCTCCTCAGAGCCACCTCCGACACGATGGTCGCCGAGGAACAGGGTGGGAGCTGCATCGCGAGGAGGGTAGGCCTGCCTCCCCCTCCCCCTCCTCCTCCTGCGCCTGTTACTGTTGCCTCCCTGCTTTCCCAGCGCAGGCTGAGCGATGATCGTAGGCAATGTCTGCGTTGTTTCGGGACCACCAACCAAAAAGAGTCCAAGATTTTCTGGTCGTCTCCGTGTTTTGAACCCCATCCGATCGATCGTAGGTTTGCCTCTGTACCCTCGGGGGGGCGGCTCCATATCGGATTTCGGGCATTGCGAAATCCCGAAACGGCGAACGAAAAACGAAGTGAATTTCACATGGATTCTTCATCCCGGCTGAAGTGAAACGCGCGCAATTCACTTCGAAATTCAGATCGGAATCCGTAACGAAATTCTCCAAGACACTCCCGGTCCATCCGACTGTTTTCCGAACAAGATCCGCTCCGCGAGGTTGGCGACATGGCCCGTGGGGCTTCCCTGAAGACTTACCATCCCGAGCAGCAGCTTCAAGGTGGTTGTCGGCGGTCTTCGGTGGTCCTTCGGTGGTCTTCCGGCGGACTTCGGCGGTCTGGACCGCGGCCCGACACGGTGTTCGGCGGTCTTCGGCGGTCACTGGTGTGAAAGCAGGATGTTCAGCGTTAACACGCAAGGTTTACCATCCCCCCCCCACCCCCCCCCCCCCCCCCCCCCCCCCCCCCCCCCCCCACCCCCCCCCCGCCCCCCCCCCCCCCCCCCCCCCCCCCCCCCCCCCCCCCCCCCCCCCCCCCCCACCCCCCCCTCCCCCCCATCCCGATCGAACACGTAAGAACACGTAACACTTACACGTAAGACTAACACGTAAGAACACGGACAGATTACACGTGAGAGCGCGTAAGGACACGTTAGACTTACACGTATGAATGAATGAATGAATGGATCCGCGCGTCCGTAGGCACATGAGCAATGGCACGAGGCGTGCGCTAGACAGTATACTTGCGCACCGCTGCTTTCCAGGCTTCCGCTGGAAAAGGTGCCAAAACCTGGCAAGTTCCAACCAGAATTGCGACAAATCTGCTTAGCATGCTGAGACAATTATGTTGCCCACGCCCGCGGGGGCCTGCCTCTCTTCCGGCGGCCAGGCCCGTGCGCCAGCTCAGAGGATGAAGGCTGGAAGGCAACCAAGCGGACAGGATGGTCGTCGGCCTTGTGTACGATTTCCCCGAACAGGATCAACTGCCGTCGCAGCAAAAGGTCGCTGAGCTTGCCGCGTCCGGCTCGCTGCAACACCGCGGCGTTGGTGATTCGACTGACATAAAAATGCCTGATGCCGAGGATTATCCGCAGGCGCCGCGCCTGAAAGGCATTCAATCTGGCCAGTTCGCGATGACGTAACCAAGATGTGTAGAGGCTGCACAGCAGCGTCGACTCGACGCACGCAAGGTACACGTTGATCGTTGTCTTGGTAGACAGAGAAGAATGAGACCAAACACGCTGTAAAGCATCGAACTCTGACCTGGCTCGGCCGATCCGCCGGCTCAATTCTGCACCGACAGAACCATCAAAAGTAATGACGCTTCCGAAGTATATTATGCTCGTCTTCTGCGGGATTGGGTCGCCCTCAGGCTTAAGTATAGCACGGGCGTTGCACCCAGTGGCCATGAGCTCGACCTTCCGCCAGTTGTCTTTCAAGCCAAAATGAGCTCCGGCGTCTGCGATGGCCTTAACGTACTCCTCCGCATCCGCACAGGTGGAAGCCACAATCAAGGTGTCGTCCGCGTATGCCAGGTCACTCGCGCCCCCGGCCAGGTCACCGAGTGCTTCTTCGCGTCCCAGAGGAGGACGGTCATCAAAATAGCGAATAAGAACGGCGACAGAGGACAGCCCTGGCAGATGCCCGCCCGCCGCCCTCGCTGCCCTGATGCCCTGCCCGCGTCGCGAACAGCGAAAAGCCGGTCAGAGTAGATCGCCTGGGCGATGTCCAGCATCATGCCTGGTAGCCCGAATCGGCGCAGGGCTGCCATGAGAGCG